GCTGGAATACATAGAGAGGATAAAGATAGAAATAGAGATAGAGTTAGAGATTAGGGATAGAGATAGAGGTAGAGGTAGAGGTAGAGGTAGAGGTAGGTCAGATAGATAGAGACAGAGATAGAGATAGGGACAGATAGAGAGGTAGAGTTAGAGGTAGAGATAGACAAGCAAGCTGCTTTAGATAAATGCTTGTGTTCCCACAAAATGCATATGTTAAAATCCTAGCCAGTAAGGTAATACTAGTAGGGGGAGGGGCCTTGGGGAGATGACCAATCATGAGGGTGGAGCCCTTATAAAAAGAAGTCCTCAGAGAGCTCCCTCACCCCTTCCTCCATGTGAGGACACAATGGGAAGACATCTAGCTTTGAACCAGGAAGTGGGCCCTCACCAGACACCCAATCTTTTGGTGCCAAGATCTCGGACTTCCTGGCCCCCAAATGGTGAAAAATAAATATGTTTTGTGTGTTTTTTCTAGCCACCCATTTATAATACATCAGCCTGAACTAAGACACAAGCATATACTTTCATTTGCATAAAACACTCTAGAGGAAAATATTAGGGATTGGTACTTGCACTTTCCAGCAGGGAGACTAAGAACTGGGCTTGAGGGCATTAGGGAATTTTCATTTCCATTGTAGACCTGTTCTAATGTGTGGCTTTTTCACCACTAACCTGAATCAATGCAGTAATAATACTAAAAATCATGGCTAATTAACAAAAAGGAATGCATTGAGAAGCTTTCCCCACACTTAGCTACATAATTGACTTGCAGAACAGAGCCAATGTGTAAGGGATTAAGAACAGGAGGTCATCACCGACCAATGTCTTATCTTCTTAGGGGTATTAATGATGTCTGGAGACACAACACTCAGTGAAAGCAGCTGAGGATTAAGAAGAAGTTGGTTCCTTAAACAGCTCTTCTCTCTGTCAATAGAGCCCAGAGCTCCGGGGAACAAGCTCTGGGACCCACATTCTTTCTCCCCTCAGATCCCAGAGCTGGTGGGAGACTTTCAAACAGACTGCAGAGGCGTTAAAAATAGAAGTTAAGTTGCTATTGGAGATACACGGAGAATTCACCACTTGCAAATCTCTAATTATAATATGTCAAAAGTGAAATACCTTGTCAGGAGCAGTATCTAATAGAATGCAGGATTGGCTCTGTCAGCACAGTGATCCATGATGTGTTGGGAGGCCCTGCATTAAATAGACATTCGGCAGGAAAATGTCCTGCAGGGACTCATCTCAGCCCTCAGAGGACTGAAAGGATGGCCAGGGAAGTCTTTGCTGTCTGTACTTTCCTCCGCTCTGGCTGGGAGCTCTGGGTGCAGCCTGCTTCCCTTCTACCGTCTGTACTTTATGTTAAATCATGTGCATACATTAGAAGTTCTTGGAGACTAGCAGATGGATGGATCGTTTCTCTCACCCGAAGCGACTCGGTTTCTCAAAGAAATGATGGCCTCCACAGTGCTGTGAGACTGGCATTAAGCACCAGGCCTCTGTGTCAGAGAACAGCTAGCGTTATGGCAGGTACAACACTAACCGATGGGGAAGAACTTAGGTGTGCTAATACCGGGCTGGGACAACCATGGGTCTGACCCACTTTGAGGCTCAATTCCATCCCCGGGAAATGCAGAGCCTGGAGGGAAGAGAAGGAGCGCTCAGAAACAATGTGCAGATGCAGAGACAATGGGAAGCAAGCTTCTCAACAACCGTGTTCTGCACAGTCGGACCGGAAAGCCCAACTCAGAAGTAGGTCACAGACAGAGAAAGCATCTTCCTTTTTGGCCAAAGGAGAGAAGCCCATAGGCATGTAATCATTTGCAGCAGAAAACTGGATGGTCCCTTCTCTGGGCCGTCAGGATCAGCTACGAAGCCACCTGCCTCCGCTGATGATGGTTCTCTTTCCTTTAAAACTTCCCATGAGAGTATGTACCACACAAACGTTGTGAAAGGAGGCAGAGTAACCAGCCCCTCCACAAATCCACACACTCCATACGGAGAGGTGCTCCTTGCCTTTCAAATACTCTAGATACCATCGTTGGAGCCAATTTCAGAAATGAGGCTGTTGTTTCCATGCTTTAGGACTTGTCACATTGCAAGGATAACAGAACACACGCCCTATTAAGGGCAGAGCACAGGCCTGCTTACCCGTGCATCTCCCTGCAGGGCCTGGGCTCTGTGGACCGTCCAAATGCTATTTAATTTTAATTGTGTTGATCTCTAAAGAATGCTTTTTGTGAGAGAAGGACGCTGAGCATGTCAACTCCCCAATTGGATTAAAATTTCCTTTTAGGTAGGCATAATTAACCCTTACTTTTAAACTCTCATTTTATAAGTCCTCTGGCTCAAACTCTTTTCAATGACTTCCCATTACTCCTAACGTAGAATTCCACCCCTTATCGAACCCAGCAGGCCTGTGGGGTATGATACCTACTGATTCCTTCTATTTAGTCCATTGTCACTCTACCCCCAAACCCTCTCCACATGCCCTAGATACACTGGCCTCTTTTGTTCTTTGAATGAGTCAAGGTCAGGATGACTGACCTTGTCATTCTTTCTGCCTGAAAAGCTTTGTCTTCTCACCTTAAATATCATCTCCTTCAAGAAAGGTTCCCAGATTACTCATTTGCAAGCCGTGCCTCTGCTCTTTTTTTATCCTCCCATAGCATCTGTCTTTTTCTTAAGAGCATGGATCATCATTTGTGTTTATATAGCTGCTTGGTGGCCACATGTTCACTCTGCCTCTCACACTAAGTTTCAAAAAGGAAAAGGACTGTTTCTGTTTGATTCAACCACATCACCTACTATGAGTCCAGGTTCCAGTAGATGTTTAATAAATATTTGTGAATGAATGAATAACTGTGTGACTGACTGACTGAATGAATGAATCTTCCAAATCAGTAGTATAGTTGGCATATGTTGAGGCTTAATAAATAATGTCTGATTTAACCTCTTTTTTCAGTCCTAAAATAGCCTCCTGAAGCCCTATCACCTTGATTATCACAAAATAAGCACCAAGCAAATAAACAACAACTCTATCATTATCATTTGGTTGTCAACAGCACAAATACCTGTGAAATCAGCAAACACACTTAATAGACTCACCCCTAAGTTGTAGCACAGCCATATACAAAAAGGCATTCATGGCACTATTCACAGGAGCCAAAGGTGGAAACAACCCAAGTGCCCATCAATGAATGAATGGATAAACAAATGGCTTATCTGTATAATGGAATAGTATTCAGTCATGAAAAGGAAGTTCTGTACATTTTACAATATGGTGAACCTTGAAAAACATCCTAATATTGGAAAGGAGACAGACACATAATTTCATTTCTATGAAAAATTCCCAATAGCAAATCCATATAGACAGAAAGCAGATTAGTGGTTGCCAAGAGTTGGTGGAAGGCAGGATGGAGATTGTCTGCTTAATGGGCATAGAGTTTCCTTTGGGTGATGAAAACCTTGAACTGGATAATGGTGATGGTTTCACTACACTGTGAATGTACGGAATGCCACAGAACTGCTTACATTAAAATGGTTAAAATGGTAACTTTTATGTTTTGCACAACAATGAAGAGGGGGAAAGGCAATAGAAAAGTTTAGAATGTGTGTTATTTTTTAAATTCTCCAAGTCTCACCTCCAGGTATCGGGTATCAAAGGCACCGGGTATCAAAGTTAGTTACCGGTTGCTTTTAGTTATAAGAAATATATCATGCTTTAAAACAATACACTTCTTCACCAACAATGGTTTCCCAGAGGCCTGGGAGCAGGAGAAAGAGGCATGTCTGCCTTGCACTTACAAAAGGCTCTAAACTTGAGGCTGGGTGAGCCCAAGCTTCCAGAGAATTCTGCAGAACAAGGTTCCACAAATGCACATGTACATCAGGTGTGCATGGTTACCTTAGGTCGCTCACAAGGACAGTTTCATTTCGGTAATTATTTTGTTTAGGATTATCTTGATTCATAGCTAATAACATTCATTTTCAATGATGATAGTATTATAATGTTTCCTCTTTGTTTGCTTGAATATCTTTAACCCATTTACCCCATTCACCTGCGATGAAATTGACTCTTTTGGGTACATAGAGTCACGTAACCACCACCATCAATGTACAGAATGGTTTCACTGTCCTGCAAGATTCTCTTCTGCTGCCTCTTTGCTGCCCAGGCCTGCACACCCCAGGGCCCAGCAACAACATAGAAGAAACAGGGACACGCATGAAGACTAGGATGAATCTCTAATGCATTAGGCCAGCCGTGGGCAAACTACGGCCCGCGGGCCGGATCCGGCCCGTTTGAAATGAATAAAACTAAAAAAAAAAAGACCGTACCCTTTTATGTAATGATGTTTACTTTGAATTTATATTAGTTCACACAAACACTCCATCCATGCTTTTGTTCCGGCCCTCCGGTCCAGTTTAAGAACCCATTGTGGCCCTCGAGTCAAAAAGTTTGCCCACCCCTGCATTAGGCTAAGTTAGGGAGGGCTGGTGCAGAGACACTGCGTGGCTGCAAATGGCCATAAGATTTGTGTTTGGGGCGATGGGAATATTCCAATAGACTGTGCTGACGGTTGCAGGACCCTGTAAATACGCAAAAAGCCTGAATTGTCCAGCTAACACTGGTGTGTTTTATGGTATGTAAATTACATCTCCGTAAAGCCATTTCAAAGAAGGCTACATAGTGTATGATTCCACGGAGATGACATTGTTCCAGAAAAGGCAGAACTATAGGAACAAAGAGTAGGTCAAAGTTTCCTTTTACAAACAAATCGCCGTCAACCAAAAATGTGCCCATTTCAGAAAGTAACAGGAGAGGATGCCTGGAGACGAGGCATCTTGGCAGAACTGGGGTGACAAGGACAGGGTTAGGGGCTGCTTTATGGGCAGGACGCTTGGATGGGGGTGCACCCCGCTGTCACTAGGGAACCCTGGGAGCCCTGCCTGACCCCCTCCCACTCCCACCGGTGCCCAAGGCGAGCCTGGAGCCCACTTACTGTGGCGGTGCCCGAGACGGTCTGCGCGCTGGTGTCCGCGGCGCTCTGCTCCGAGTGGGACTGCGCGGGAGGGTACAGGTTTAGCGTGTGCTCGGGGACGGTGGTCTGGCCGGGGTACTCTGGCGCCGGGTGGGGGTGGGGGGCCGTGTATTCCGCGGGGATGCCGTTCTGAGGGGGAGCGAACTGGGCCGAAGCGTAAGGCTGAGCCATTGTGTCAGGGGCAGCTGCTGCTTCCTGATTACCCTGAAAAATCAGAGGGGGAGAGAAGGAGAAAGCGTGAGTGGCCACCGGGCGCAACCTCTCCCCAGGCCCTGGACCACAGTTACCCGGACACGGTGCGGGTGCCCGCACGGTGCCAAGAGCCTGAGCCCATGCACCCCAGTTCATCTTCATCAGACGCTCTGAGGAAGCAGTCACCCTCATTTATACAACCCATTCTAGAGATGCAGACATCAAGGCTGCGAAACCGGAAGTCACTTTCCCCAATCATCCAGCTCAACAGCCCCAGACTGGGAGGGTCTGTGTCCCACTGGGCCGATCTGTCTGGCAGATCTTCCTTCTTTCATTCCCATTCGGGAACACGTGAGCATGGTGTTTTCTCCAGCGATAGCAGAACCTTGCTCTGATACTTAAAACGCCAAAAGCGATTAAACCAAACATGCGTGTTCCTGAGAGGAGAGACAATTCATCTAAGCATTTGAATTTAATCAAAGTTTTATGTGTCTTGGCTCACATGACGGGATTGGGGGGTCTTGTTAATGACCACAGTGTGTGTGTGTGTGTGTGTGTGTGTGTGTGTGTGTGATGTTCCAATGAAAATTCAGGGCCTAATTTGGACAAAGATGGCCCTCTGTGATAGCCCCGTTTTAAGTAATTCTGCAAAGTGCTGGACTTAACTCAGCCTCGTTAGTCAATGCCTCCCCCAGCCCCTGTCTTATTTTTTATAAGCACAGAGTATTATATAACAATTCACCCTTCAGATCTAGGCAAAACATGCAGTGTGATAATTACAGCCAAGTGAAAAGAATTAAACACACACACACACACACACACACACACACCCTGAATTCAAATGCTTCCATTTCAGGAAACATCTATCTCTCTCCACCTCCACCTCCACCCCCACCCTCATAACTCTACTACCCTACCCTACACACACACACACACACACACACACACACACACACCACAGCAATCACAGAGGCAGAAACTGCAATCCAGAGATCTGAAATGTCCATGGTCTCAAGAGATAGGATCGCACAGTCAGAAAGAGACAGAAGAAAACACCCTAGCAGTTAAGCACCAAATAGCCGCTTTGCTATTGTCTGTGGTCAATTAGAGGTGACTTCGGCCCCTCTATTATGATAGCAGGGCCAACATGTCAGAATCGCTCCCATCGCCTCCGTCCTCACCACCAACATAGGAGCACCTCTTCGGTTAAAGCACCATGGTGCAGCTGGAACATTCTAACATGGAGAGAAGGGAAGTTTATTCTCACAGCAGCGCACAGAGCCATCTCATTTGTTTAGAGGGGACCGTAATTAGAATGTTAAAGATGACACGCTGAAGAGGACTTAGCTTAGGCTAAGTTTAAAACATTTTGCAAGTGAAAACATTCCCATCAGGCCCTTTCCTCCCCCAGCATAACTGCTCCAAATGTCTGTGCCATGGGCAGCAGAAATGCACAGCCACTTCTCTCTAACATGTTTCCGCAGCATTTGGGGCTGAGCTGGGTCTGTCTGTGCTGTGGCTGAATCGCTATACGTGACGGGAAAAGTTAACCCTACCCATCCCTAGCAAACACGAGGTCAAATTCATTGTCACTGCCACTCAGTGTTCACTTTTCTTCAAGGAAAAAGCTTTGTTCCTTTCGGGGTGGGGGTGGGGGGACCCTTCCACTCCCAGCCTAGTGCAGATGTGGCTGAGCCCGCCTCCCATGACCTATAGATACAGTCATGTGACCTTGCTTGCCTAATCAACGGATTCCACTCTCTTGCCCAGCCGGTGTGGCTCAGTGGTTGAGCATCAACCTATGAACCAGGAAGTCATGGTTTGATTCCCAGACAGGGCACATGCTGGGGCTGTTGGCTCCATCCCCAGTGGGGGCCCTGCAGGGCCTAATTTGGACAAAGATGGCCCTCTGTGATAGCCCCACTTTAAGTAATTCTGCAAAGTGTTGGACTTAACTCAGCCTCGTTAGTCAATGCCTCAGTGAGTCTCCCTCATCATTGATGTTTCTATCTCTATTTCCCTCTCCCTTCCTCTCTGAAATCAATTAAAAATAAAAAAGGGTTCCACTCTCACAGTCACCAGGATGTGTGTTCATGCCCGTCTATCTAAACCAGTTAGCGAGTTAAACCTTTGTCGTTCTAAGGACACTCCTGAGACTTTGCTGGAGCTTTGGGAGGAAGTCCTCTTTCAATGGTCATTGGCAACTGTAAACATAATGTAAGCCCGAGCTGCCAAGAACCATCCCTTGAAGAAGAACCGCCTAAAGCCAAAGCCAACCCAGAGGAGAGCCAGCCCAGCAACTGATCAACAGATAAACTGAGTCCCGGTGAGCTCATCGGAGGTCTTGGATCCAGCTTTCCCTGTAGTTAGTAACGCTTTAGTCACATGAACCAGTCAAGGTCTTATTTTGTTTAAGCTACTTTTTCTGTTACTTGCAACCTAAAGGGCCTTGATTAGCAACCCCTCCTGAAAAAAACCCTCTGCTGTTTATGAGCCCACGAGCTTCCTTTTCTTCTCCCGGGATGTGCAGGGAACATGGCCTCATGTACAGACATTCCACACGGATGCCGCTTCTTTCTGGCCCAGCAGAATCCCCAGAAACCATTGGACCGGAGAACCCTCCCGAGAGAAATGCACGATGACAGATCCCACCTCTGCCCAAAGGTCCGCGGCAGCCTGCCCTGCCTTCCGCCAGGCTCATCTCTGAATTGAAAGAAAGGCTTGTGAGAAGCCCAGGTGAGGCCTCCGAAGGGAGCAGACAATGATGGCAGGAGCGATGGTAGCGAGAGACGGTCCCTAATGACAAAGGTTTCTCCACCACCTCCAGCAGAAAACACAATATCCTGGGAGGGAACCCTGCCCGAGTGGCCTTCCCTCGCTGCAGAGCAAGCTCAGGAACAGTGACCCAGTCCCACAGGCCCCAACAAGATTGGGGGCTCTCTGCTGGGATCTGAGCTCTCTCTGTTTCAGAGAAAGAAGGGCCTGCCCTCAGGAAGCCTGTGATCTGATTGCTCCATCCTCCCACCACCATCAAGTCCTCCCATTCATGCTTCCTCTACATGGAAAGCACCCCTCTTCCCCCGGCTACTGCTCTCTAGCCTGGCTACTCTCTACTCATCTTTCACGTCCCAGATCAAGAGAGCTCTCCTCCAGCAAGCCTTCCTTAACACTTAAGCCATGTGGCTTGCCTGCCTCCTGTACCTCACTGCAGCGTGTGGCCATTTCTCACATAACCCTGAGCCCTGCCATTGGCTGCTTATTTGTCTGTGAGCATCCTGGGGGCAGACGACTGTGTCAGGTTTTCATTCCATCTGCAGTCTGGTCCACTACTTGTTTTTGTTAATAAAGTTTTATTGGGACACAGCCACATTCGCTGTGCTACGATGGCAGAGTTGCATAGTTTGGGCAGACACCCGATGGCCCCCAACACCTAGACCAGTGGTCAACAAACTGCGGCTCACGAGCCACATGCGGCTCTTTGGCCCCTTGAGTGTGGCTCTTCCACAAAATACCGACTTCTGCACATGGGCCACGAAGTTTCAATCGCACTGTACATGCACGCCCGCACGTGGTATTTTGTGGAAGAGCCACACTCAAGGGGCCAAAGAGCCGAATGTGGCTCGCGAGCCGCAGTTTGCCGACCACTGGCGTAGACTATTTAACTGTCTGGCCCTTTACAAAAAAGGTGTTCTACTCTCTGTTGGCAGAGTATCATTACATAGCCCATGCCAATTCAGAAGCCAGCTTTGCATCAACAGGACAGGAAATAAAGCTGGCGATAAAGCAGGGAGAGAAAGGGGTGCAGTCTCTCTGAACCAAGGAGGGGAGGCTCAGCTAGACTTGGAGATCCTCAGTGCTGAGGATGGAGCAAAAGGGCGCATGGGGATCCTTTTCCGAATTTGCTTTAAATTATGGGCTCTCTGAATTGTCAATGCGCATGCACACATGTAGGCCTGAAACCCAGCACAAGTGGGCTTAGAGGGGAAGATCCGAGATGGCCTCAGGCTCCCGTGCTCCATCCGAAAGGCATCCCCTCACGTCAGCAGTGTGGGCAGAACACAAGCCCAGTGCAGCCTCCCTTCAGGCCTATGGGTGCCGGGCACTCGCTGGGCACTTCCCATTAGTGATTAAACAGAGGAAACGGATCCCCAGGGGACATTAGGCAATGACCCGAGACATGTTTGGTTGTCACAACTTGGGAGGAAGGCTGCTACTGGGATCTAGTGTGTGGAGGCCAGGGGTGTTGCTGACGCCCTACATCGCACAGGCCAGCCCCGCTACTGAGGATTCCTGGGCTCTGGCCCTGAATGTTAATCGTTCGGAGGTCTAGACTCCCTGCCCGGCATGCATTGCATCTCTAACCCCACTTGATTCTATTGTTACGTCTGCTGAGGCCCAGAACTGGTAAATGAGTCCACAAGGCCAGAGCCACGGGTAGCTCTTTGGGAAGCCAGGAGCTGAACCAGAGCTCAGGTTATCCTGTGCGCAGGTGCCTCTCATTTGGCAGGACTCTCACCTGGTGGGGAGGCTTGTTCCCATTTTTAAATAAGCAAACCTGTCTCTGTCACAGACACACCTGGCCTCAAGACCTGTTTCCACCTGGTGATGTGATGCTGGGGTATTTATTCAAAGGTGCCAGCATTGCACTGGCCGGTTTGGCTCAGTAGATAGAGCATCAGCCTGTGGACTGAAGTGTCCTGGGTTCAATTCCTGTCAAGGGCATGTACCTCAGTTGCAGACTCAATCCCCGGCCCCAGTCCGGGTGTGGGCAGGAGGCAACCAATCAACGTGTCTCTCTTATATTGATGTTTCTCTCTCTCTCTCCCCCTTCCTTCCACTCTCTCTAAAATAATCAGTGGAAATGTCCTCAGGTGAGGATTAAAAAAAAAAAAAAGGTATCAGTGTTTCATCAGCCAGACTAGGGTATTAACCAGGGGTCCTCAAACTATGACCCGCGGGCCACATGCAAATACAAATATTGTATTTGTTCCCGTTTTGTTTTTTTACTTCAA